GAATGAAGAAGAAATCCGATTTATTATGTTTGAAATTCTTGGTGGTGGTATTGACACGGTATGTATTTATCATTTGATTGTTTTTTATAATAAAGTAAAAAACTAAATTTTAAAATTTTATTATAAAGTCATCAAACTCTTTTTGCTTTATTACATATTACGTATGTAAACACCCGGAAGTTAAAAAACGTATGGTTCAAGAACTTGATTCTGTATTCGGGAACGATCGAACGCGCAAAATCTCTTACGAAGATATATCCAAACTTGAATACTGTGATGCAATTGCAAAAGAAGCGTCCAGATTAATGCCTGTAATACCTTCGGTATTTCGAATGGCCTCTAAAGATGACATAGTAGCTGGTATGAAATGGAAAGCCGGTCAAACCTTTTTCGTACATACGCATGCAATCCAAATGAACCCTAAACATTGGCCTGAACCCGAAAAATTTGACCCTGATAGATTTATGAAAAATTCTATCGAAAAAAATACCTTAATTCCATTTGGTGGCGGTGTTAGAATGTGTCCTGGAAGACATTTAGCTGAGACAGGACTTAAAGTCTTAATGGTTTTAGTATTTAGAAATTTTGATGTTAGTTTAGTAAACCCAGATGCTCCTCTTCATAAAATATATTCGCTTGCAAACCATTGCGAAAAATTACAAGTTTATATTAAACCGAGAGAATTTAATACATAATATTCATAAATTCAACTGCTTTTTTTTTAATCTTTTCTGCGACATTTTAACATGAATATATACTTTTTTACAAATAACATAAAATGCATGAAATATAATAAAGTTTGAAAAATTGGAAGGTCATTGGTAATTTTAATTGAATGAAAGTCATGGGAAAACTTTAGGAACAATCCTATTTTTATTTTTTTTGGCACTTTCAGCGTTATTATTTATCAATTGCATCAACTTAAACCTATAGATAACGATAATTTGAATGGAACCGTAAAAGTCATGGTAATAAATTTAATATGTACTTTAACTATTCCAAATTGAGTGCGTTCCCGGAATCCAAAAAAAAATTTTTTTTGTGTGACCAATTAAAAGATATGAAATGTTTTAAAGTTATGGTATTGATTAACTGCCCACCACATTGTGGTATTGTAAATACTTAAAAGGTTTAGGTAAGATAATGTAAAACCCGGGAACAGATTGTTATGACAAATAAAAGACCCAGAATTCTATAACGCATGACATAATAAATAATAATATAAATTAAAGTTGTCTAAAAATAATTTTTTTATTATCTTCATTGTTTATTCCACAAAATGATTTTCATAAATAAATATAGGAGAAGAAAGCGTTTCATATTCCAAAAATCTTATTATGCAGCTCAAGAAAGAAATTATTGTTCTTTTATTAGAAACTATTGATAAATAATTCAGCAATGAAGGATAAATTCAATTACATAAATAATGCTTGTGAAACTTGTACAAGAAAAGGATGATTATGCAAAAAAAAAGATTAAGCTTTACAATAACAGAATCATTTAAAATAATCTTATATTTTCAATCCAGAACCAACTTCAATGGATAGAATATTTGAAATTAAGGAATGAAAGGAAAAAAAGAAAACAAATAAACAACCACTTGTTTTTAGAAGAATCTTCGATTGTACATTAATCCATTAATCCATTCAATCCATTAAAGGCTAGATCTAATGAAAATTATTTTTTCGCGCCAATTTAAATTTAGAGATTATTCTCATCATTCAGTACTCTAATTAACATTGTTCATTCCGCGTTTCTTTTGTCAAAGAACCCAAAAACATGCAAATTAATGAATATCAAAACATTATTCAACGAAAAAATATCGAATGATTAGTGCAAAAAAAAAAAAAAAAAAAATTTTCAAATGATCCTTGCACATGGATTGGGGTAGATATTCCCAATCTTGGGCGCATATCCATTTATTTCATAAATTCCTGATTTGGTTAAAATTAAAGAATGGATAATGTAAATATAAATATTTATTATTATTTTTCTTTTTTTATCCAAACATTTTTGTTTACTCCGATGTCTTGAACATTGTTACAATCATTCATTTAACATCACTAATCTCTTTTGGTCTTTTTTGTAATGTGTGATAAGAATCGGAAAATATTTATCCAAATTCACCCGAATATTGAAATTTATTTGTGATTCATCAAAGTGATACTCAAAATTTTTGTGATTCATCATAATTTTTGTGATTTTAACTTTAAGACCATCAAGAAATATAAAAAGCATCGACTGTCGAATTCCCTAATTTTGATACAAACAAATTTTTCTTAAATTAAAAAAAAAAAAATGGAAAAATCCTATTCCCCACCAATAATTAAAAGTTTATTTTCTTATTTTGAGAATAAATTAAAACACCAAAAATTAAAAATTAAAAAATTAAAATCACATTTTCGTTCTTCACATAAAAGTTTGGACACAGATAATGTTAACACAAACTCTTCTTCCAATTCAACTTCTAAAATAATAAATTATACAAAAAGACTTCTTGAAGAATATGCAGATGAAATTCATTCCGAATTTTTCGAATCTCCTGAAGAACCAGCAAAACGCACTATTGATGAATATGGAGATATGACATGGACAGGTTATGGTGATATTTCAATGTCAGCATATGATACAGCTTGGTTGGCAATGATTCCTAATAAAGCATATAAAGAATCTTCTGTCGCCGAAGAATTTTCTTTGGCATTTCCTAAATGTTTCGAATGGTTAATTAGTTGTCAAGACGAATTTGGTGGTTGGTGCAATGTGCGAGGTGCAGGAGCTATTACTCCGGTACTTGCCGGGTTATTGGCACTTTGTCAATTTAGAACTCGTAGTGGAGCGTTTTTTGAACAAAAATTATGCGAAATTGGTATTACCATCGTAAGTTTTATTATGCATTTTTTCTATTTATTTATTTATCAATATATTTATTTGTTTTATCTATTCTTTTGTAGAAACAATTTTACGATGTTATAAGTAGAGCAACAGAATTTGCACGTGTTACGTAAGTTTGTTTTCTATATCATTTATATCCTATTTTCTTCATTGATATACTCACGTGATTTATAATATTATAGTTTAAATGAATGGAATGTTGACGATATAGATTTTGTGGGATTAGGTATATACAATGAAAGTTAAACTGTAAAGTCTTTAATCTTATATTCATATAATTTATAATTTATAATTTGGTAATTTGGTATTATTAGAAATAATAATTCCGTATCACCTAAATGCTTTAAAGAAATCCTATCCTTCTATTGAATTTGAATTCCCCGAAAAACAAAAGCTCTTAAAAGAACATGAAAGAAAATTATCATTGATACCGTTAGAAACTATCTTTAAGATGGCCAAAATGAGACAACCCATAACTCTAATCCATTCAATAGAAGCATTTTCTGATGTGATCGATTATTCACGTATACAGAATGAAGGATTTCAAGCATTAAATGGAAGTTATGGATCATCCCCAGCCGCGACTGCTGCTGTACTTATTCATGCAAAACGATGGGACGAGAAAGCCCATTCTTTTCTTGAAAATATTTTAAAAGTTTCCGGAACAAGATTTGGATATGTACCCACACTTTCCGATCTTGGAACATTTGAAACTGCTTGGGTATTACACCCAATAGGTGATTTGATATTAAAATTGAAGAAGAATAATATTACTGATCTGGAACTTTTCTCGAAGAATATAGCTTTCGCACAATATTTCCAAGCATTGCATAAATTTCAAGAAGGAAAAATTCGATGGGTTAGTTGGGATAATAGAATACCAGCTGATGTTGATGATACCGTCGTATCAAAATGGATTATTCGGCAATTTGACTCAAAATCAGAATTCAATTTAGATGTTTTGATGAAAATATTTTATAATAACAAATATTTTATTAGTTTTCCTGGTTAGTAAATATTAATATTATATTATCTTAATCACGTTATTCTATTTAATTAATTAATTATTTGTTTATTCATTTAATTATTCATTTTATTAGGCGAAAGAACATTTTCTTGTAGTTGTAATGCTCATGTATTAAGTTTATTATTATTGGAATATGAAAGAGCAAAACTTCAAGACAATCCATCTATTACTGTTCCAGTTATAACAAAAACTGGTTTAACTCAACAAGTTAAACTTAAACAAGTCATTCTAAATGTGATCAAATTTCTCATGACTCAACGTACCAAAAACTTTGTTTGGTTAGACAAATGGAACAAAAGTCCTTCTTATACTACATTTAAAGTAATTGATATCTTACTATCTTTGATTTCTCATCCCGAACTACTTGAAGATTTAAATTTGCCCGTTGATAAACTCAAAGAATTTTGTCGAAAATCGATAGATTGGGCATTGAATACACAACATGAAGATTTAAGTTGGGGTGAACCATCTAGCATATCTCAAGGTAATATAGAAGAGACTAGTTACGTAATAAGATTATTGAAAACTGGTATAATGAATTGGCCGGAAGATACGAATATTCGCAATTCATTACAAAAAGGACAAAATTATTTATTGAATCATTTGGATGAAGCAATGTGTGACCCAGAATTCTTTCATGATAAACAACCATTTCTTTGGATCAGCAAACAACTGTATACAGTACCAAGAATAATTAAAGCTTCTATGTTGGTTGCTGCTTACGAAGAATAACGTTTAATAATTCTTTTTTTTAAAAAAATTATATATTTGTTGTATTATTGAATGGTTTAAAATTATTATTTTTTTCTGCATAACTTTCATAACTTTGTAATTTTATACATATAAAAAAGAAATTAAAATCCCTTTATCAAAATATCATCAATAAAATATTATATTGGCTTAATTATTATGTCTAGTCAACATAAATCTGTAGTTTTTGTTCATTGAAGTTATCGTTTTTTTTTTGTTTTTATTCAATAGGTTTGAGACATCAGGTGCTCTGCTTAATGGTTACCTAAATAAATTAGAAAATTAAATATAAATAAGCGAATAAAATTCTTTCCCTTTGCTTGCCAACAAAATGGCATCAAATTCTGATAGATACGGTTTTATTGGATTAGGTCTCATGGGGTAAATTTTAATTTAGATACTGTTTATTTCATTACATATTTTTTTTTTCTAACCGACCGATAATTATGAACTTTTCAATTTTTAAGAATTCATATGGCCACCAACCTCCAAAATTATTTATCCTCAAAAAATCTTGACCCATTAATTGTTTACAATCGAACACATACCAAAACCCAAAATATTACCAAAATTGGAGCAATTGCTGCGACAAGTTTAAAACATGTGGCCGAATACTCTAATATTATATTTACTGCATTGTCCAATGATAATGCGGTTAATGAAGTTTATGAAGAATTGTTAAAAGAATTTGATCAAATTTCAGATGATAAAAGAAATTTAATTTTTGTTGAAACAAGTACGATTTATTCGACCTCTATTAGTAACCTTAGAAGAAAGGTCGAAAGTGTTGAGAATAGGAAACTTTTGCATTGTCCTTTATTGGGTCCTGCCATTGCTGCAAAGGTTACTACTAATTTCGGATCTAGTAAATTTGGTTAGCTGATTTTCAGCTCAAAGTTAGCTATTTCCAATTTGGAAATAAGGTTTCAACCGGAATTTATGACCGCGGTTAATTATATTTATTTATTTTAGAACGCGCAATTATTAATTATTACTTCAGGAAATCAAAATGCAATTGATCACATTACGCCATTATTGGTACCAGTTTTAGGCAGAAAGATTCTTTCCTTTGGTAAGCACATTAAAGAAAATACGGAATTAAATGCTAGAATTATTATAAATTATTTCTTGAATTACATAGGTGACAATGTAAAAGCAGGAGCATCATTCAAACTTTTAGCAAATTTCATGATTGGTGGTTCGTTGGAATTATTGTCCGAGGGATTGACTTTAGCCGAAAAAACCGGTATTGAGAAAGAGCAATTTTTGGAATATATCACTTTAGTATTCCCAAACACTCCGCTTATGTATTATGGTATTTTGATTAATTTTTTTAAAAAAAAATGGGAAATAAAAATTGTTCATTCTTGATATAATAAATGTGATAAACTTTTTTTAGGAAAAAAAATTAAAGAAGAAAGTTTTATGGACGATGTTGGATTTACTGTAGAAAATGCACTAAAAGATGTGGGGTAAATAGTTTTATAAATATATATCATAATTATATATATATATATTTTGTAAGAATAATTAATAATGATAAAAAATAATTTCTATAAATAGTCACATTCAAAAATTAGCCAAAGATTCGGGCGCTCATCTTCCCACAGCAGAATTACTTCACAAGCATTTGAATTATGTTAAAGAAAATGTGAGAGATGATATTGATTGGAGTAGTATTTGCGGAACTGTTAGAGTTTGTATGTATCTATTTTACGTTGTCTCTTATTTACATCATCTTTACAAATAATAATTTTCGTTCTACAATTTTTTTTTAACCAGCCTCTGGGTTACCATTTATTAATAAAAAAACTGAAGACAATGCTGATCAATAAATATTTATTTTGCATTGTGTTATTAATTATAATCACTAAATTAACTGAATACTCATTTTTAATAACAAATTATTTTATTCAATATAAAAAAAAATAGTTGAGTTGAATAACATAATATCAAAAATTTTGGTGTAATTACAAATAAAAGAATAAAACTTATTATACATCTTTATCAACTAAAAATTATTCACATTTAAAGAATTTAAAGAATTTATCCATTTACGATAGATCCTTCGAAAAAAATAAATGAATAAATAATTAGATCATTGTTTATAAATTAACCAACAGTGAAAATAATACAAATTAACTAAATTACCTCCGTTGGGATGAAGAACCTATACAAAAAAAAAATAAATCAAATCAGCAAGGAATTAGCCAGATTTTTTTTTTTTTTAGAAAATAAAATAAAATAAAAAATAAAATCTTTTGCTTACCTGACCATTCATATAACTGGAATCTTGACTGGCAAGGAATACGCAGCATGTCGCAACTAAAGAAAAAAAAGTGAATGTTACTATAATACTGAGAAATAAGTAACATGTGCAATTTTTCATATATTACCTTCAGAAGGTTGTCCAGGTCTTTTCATTGGAACACTAGAGCCAAATTTTTCCATTACTTCAGGTGAAAATGATGCTTTAATAAGTGGTGTCCAGATTGGACCTATTTGTTAAAAATAATTAAAAAAACGTGACATGAATAAAAAGGAAATAACATGAATCCAGCAACGAAAAAAATGATTGCTTACCAGGGGCAACAGCATTAACACGAATACAACGATCAGCTAATTGAAGGGATAAGCTTCTGGTGAATGAAACGATTGCGCCCTAAATTTATGAATCAAAAATTTATTATAAAAATAAAAAAAGAGCCATGATAAAAGAGCATACTAAATTTACCTTAGTTGAAGAGTAATCCAACAATGATGGATTACCATTATATGCAGTAACTGAAGTCAAGTTGATGATAACGCTTTTTTTTTTTTGAAAAAATAAATAATAAATATCGTATAAAAAATAAATATAAGGAAAAACTCTATTGAAATTAAAAATCAACTGTACCTTCCTTCTTTCATATGCTTAACGGAATGTTTAGCCAAATAAAACATTCCAAAAATATTTGATCTTTTTTAACGTTAATTACGAGTAGATCTAGTTGACGAGTAAATCTAATAAATCTTGTAATCATTTTTTTTTTTACGACTTACCTGAAGGTTCTTTCAATCTGATCAGCTTCAAGATTTTCGATTCTCTCGCAAACATGCTGTTGCATATTATATAAATGTATTAATATATATAATTTATTTAATTAAAAAAATACACATTGAATCAAGAAACGAAAATATTAGTTTTACCTGTTCGGATGCATTATTAACAAGAATATCAATTCTTTCAAATTTTTTCACAACTTCGTCAACAATTTCGATAGCATTCTTTTCATATCCAACATCCTTACTGATCAATAAAACTTGAGCATCACCTTGTTTCTCAACAAGTTCTTTGGTTTCTTTTGCATCCTATAATATACATATACACATATATTGAGTAAAATAATAAACATTCTAAGTACCAAAATTGTATTTAGACAACAAAATACCCGTTCTTCTCGAGGAAGATAGACGATAGCAATTCCTTGAGCTTTTTCCTTGGCAAACAATATTGCAGTAGAACGACCGATACCAGAATCTCCGCCTGTGATAAGAGCAATCTTACCCTTCAACTTTCCTGATGCTAGATATTCTTTAAGTCTGCCTTCTTCAGTTGGTAGTTGATGAACCAATGGCTGAGGCTTCATCTCATATTGTAGGCCAGGTTGTTCTTGCAATTTTTGTTTTGGAATATCGGAAGCCTCGGAGATGCTTTGTGGAATTTCTTTTTCGTGAGACATGATAAAGTAAACTTATTTACGTCGTTTTTTTTTTTTAAAAAAAAACCCCTTTTCGAAGAACGGATAAAATGTTTTGTATTCTTGCTTATTATATATGGAGAAAAATTGACATCATTCGCATCAAATTTTCAAAGAACTTATATGACACCATAATGATGTGACGAACAGGACTTTTGAATAGTGAAATCATTATTACGAATTTTCACACAATACATTTTCACATATTAACCATTTCTTTTCCGAAGTCATTATAGGTTGTTATTGCATTTTTTGTTTTGGAATATTAGAAGCCTCGGAGATGCTTTGTGGAATTTCTTTTCGTGAGACATGATAAAGTAAACTTATTTACGTCGTTTTTTTTAAAAAAAAAAACCCTTTTCGAAGAACGGATAAAATGTTTTGTACTATTGCTTATTATATAGAAAAATTGACATCATTCGCATCAAATTATCAAAGAACTTATATGACACCATAATGATGTGAAGAACAGCACTTTTGAATAGTGAAATAATTATTACGAATTTCACACAATACATTTTCACATATTAACCATTTCTTTTCCGAAGTCATTATATGTATACTGATGTTTTAGTTTACAATATATGTTGAAAAAATTATCATGAGATCAAATAGAATCAGTAATAATAGATGCTGGAAAAAGGAATAGATCAAAATGCCAGAACGGGAATATATACGTAATTTATTTAGATTTAAAATGAAATTTATTTTTGCTTCTCTGCAGGTTTAGTGTATAAGATAAGCTTCTTATTTGGGTTTGGTCAAAATAACGTATCTAACAGAGTAGTATAAAAATTCTAACCTTTTATTAGTCAAGACAGCCACCGAGATGACTAATTTTTTGTATGAAATTTTGAAGATATTGTTAGTTGCTTTAATAGCCTATATCTCATATTTTTATTACAAATATTTTACACGCGAGAATCCGCTCCCCGGTCCTTTTCCGCTTCCATTCATCGGCAATGTTCATCAAGTCTTTCAAAATTCCTCTCTAGATATGAGAAAGATACAAGCCAAATATGGCGATTTATGTGAATTTTATATGGAATCTCAACGTTTTATTTTGTTGGGTCATAATGACCTTGTTCAAATAGTTCAGAAACCGAGCGTTAATAGTTCATTCCATAATAGAGTAAATGATGATTGTGAAGGTCTTATTGAAGTTGGTATATTGAACACCGGTTTATTGTTTAATAATAATTTTCATGATTGGCAATACCATCGTAAATTCTTTACCAAAGTTATGATGTCAACTTCATTTATTAAACAATCTATGTCGGTTATACATAATGTTTTTTTGGAAATGGATAAATATTGGGAGAAACTTGGTGAAGATACAATAATAGAATTTAATCATTGGATAAAACTATATTATTTTGATACCATTTTTTTTACTACTACCAGTAAACCTGCCCATTCATTAGAAAATTATTACAATAAATTAACCTCAAATGAGAAATTAGCTGCACCAAAAATTATTATCAATGAAAGTGATTTGTTTGTAGAATCAGTAGATGCACTTGTTTTTAGCTTTGTTTATTTCTTTTTTCTTCCAAAAATTATTCGAGATTTCCCTGGAATTAGAGATTACACTCAATACTTAAAGAAAAGAATTAGTTGGTTAAGGAATAATGTAAATAATATCATTAAATCAAGACGAGAAGAAATTTCTAAAACACCAATGGATCAAAAATTGAAATCTGACATGTTAACGATGTTTTTAACGGTAAACACTGAAAGAGATATTACTAACCAGATTGCAGATGATCTTCATGATGAACCAATGACCGATAAAAATATCGAGGCAAATTTTATGGAAGTTATGGCTGGTGGTATTGATACGGTAAACTTAACTTTTTTATGTGACGATTTTTCCCCCTGGTTATAATTATTATTTATTTATTATTTTTTTTTGCAGGGTGCAAATTCTATGTGTTTTCTGGTTAATCTTTTAGAAAATAATGTGAAAGCAAAACAACGAATGATAGAAGAAATTGAATATGTTCTTGGCAAAGATCCGTATTCTTCATTTACGCTTGAAGATTTATCAAAACTCAAATATGTTGATGCTGTTATTAAAGAAGGTAATTTACATGTCAAATTTATTTAAAGATCAGTGGTGATCAGGGAATTATGTAATTTTGCCTAGTTGGTTATAATAATAATATATAACATTTCATTAATTTTTTTATTTTTCAACCAAATATTATATAATTACAGCATCAAGAATCTCTTCTGTCGGTCCAACAATTTTTAAAAAAAATTCCTTGCCAGAAATTATAGGAGGTTATAAATGGTCTAAGGATACTCATTTTATATTAAATATTGATGGGGCTCAAAAGCATAAATCATATTGGGAAAATCCTAATTTATTTAATCCAGATAGATTCATGGATAAAGATAATCCAGAAAATCAAAATCAAGTTTATATGTGGGGTGGAGGTTTAAGAAAGTGTAAGTAATTTCCACTTAATTATATAAAAAGAATATATACATCACGTGATAAAAATATAATTCATTCATTTACTATAGGTCCGGGAAGAAATTTGGCAATAATGGAATTGAAAGTTACTTTAGTAATGTTGTACAGAAAATATGACATTGAACTGATGGGACCAATGAAAGAAAGAATTACGGCGGTTAGGAGTTGCGAAGAATTAAAAATTAAATTAAGAAAAAGGAAAAACTTGTGATAAAAAGACAGTATTTTGTTTGGTTTATAATTATCATTATTATATTACTGTATTTTTGATATCACGAGATTTTCAACTTGGTTCATGCCTAATTTTGGGTGATTTTTTATTTCTTTCATATTCTATATATTTAAGTATCGTGTATTTATATGAATATTGAATACAAATATTACAAATATTACAACGCTAGTTACTTTAACATTGATAATACCTTGCATCAAAATATTCTTTAAATAAACTTAAAAGCAATTAATTTTAGAATATCTATACATGTTCCCAAAATTTATTTTGGGTATTTCGTCTTTTTGAGATTTACATAGAATCTATTCTATATATGGAAGTAAAAAAAATACCTAGTTAAGTGTATCTTTAATCAAAGAATTTATCTGGGTAGTCAAAAAATTTCGGGTTTTAAGTAAAATAATTTCGTCTTCTATGAAAAACTATTTCAACTTTTTTCCCCAAAATTACAATTTCGGGACCCCAAAATAATTTTGCGTGCTAATCTTTTAATTCTTGTTATGCAAAACAAGGTTTATTTTATCTAAACCATATAATTATTACGCAGTCGAAGAGTCGTCATTAAGTACTGGTGTATATTTAACATGTTTATTATATTTACTTTATTTACTTATGCTTACAACTTAAAAACTAAAAAACTAACGAATATCACTAATATTATCAATGGTGAATTGGTAACCATCTCGCTTATCTACATCCTAGATGTGTGGATTAAGAAGTTGGAATATCTTAAAAGATGCTATTCACGAATATTAACTGATAATTAACTATTATTATTATACACTCAATATTTAACATAATTCAATTTAAATAATAATTTATCTTTCTAGCAGACCTATAACAACAAAAATCAATTCATCACTTTATTGACATCATTATAATATTTATTTATAATCTTTTTTATAATTTGAACAGTATCACGAGGATCATTATTTCGTTTCTAATAAAGAAATCCTTATTAGAATTATTGAAAGAAAATTTTTTAGAACTTGCAGATCTGATACATAAAAAATTAAATTGAACAGTTATAATATATCGTCCAATTAAAATTTAGTAAATTTATATCTAAAATTCATTACCCTTTTTTTGCTGGTTGACTAATTCCCCCCCAAAATGTCTTTTCGTTTATCTTCTCTTGTGAGAAAAACATCATGCATTCCCTTAACAAATTCCTTAATAAATCTTACGAAAACTACCAAAACTATCAGAACTACTTCATGGCTAACTTCACGTAAATTTGCAACTGTTACCACATCAGAACCTATTAAATACAAACTTCCAGAAAGCAGTTTCAAAGCTTATGAATGTGAACCACCTTCTCTCGACATTGAATTCACAAAGGAGGAAATTATTAATATGTATAGAGATATGGTTTTGATTCGTAGAATGGAAACTACTGCTGACGGTTTATATAAATCGAAACTGATTAAAGGATTTTGTCATTTGTGTACTGGTCAAGTAAGAATTTTTCAAAGTAAATTATTATTATTATTATTATATTTTAGAAAATGAAGTAAAATTTTCTTTTTTTTAAAAAAATTTTAGGAAGCAGCATGTGTTGGTATTGAAGCTGCTATTACCCGAGATGATGCAATTATCACCGCTTATAGATGCCACGGGTATACGATGACACGTGGAGCACATCCTCGTAATATTTTTGCTGAACTTACAGGTAATTAATAATTATTAAAGGATCACTTTACTTAAATATCGATTAAAATATCGATTAAATATCGATCACATATAATTTCATATAATTATAAATAGTTTGAAATAAATAAAATTCTTCAATACATATAGGTAAGGTTACCGGGGTTTCCAAAGGTAAAGGTGGTTCTATGCATATGTTTGCTAAAAACTTTTATGGTGGTAATGGTATTGTTGGTGCACAGGTAAATAAGATATTTCTTTTAATTACTTTTTTTAAATTATTTTTGTGAAATTCACATATTAAAAAGATCTCTCTTTCTCTTTCTCTTTTTCTTTTTCTTTTGTCTTTATCTTTTTCTTTTTTCTTTTTTCTTTTTTTTTTTCTTTTTTCTTTTTTTTTTTCTTTTTTCTTTTTTTTTTTCTTTTTCTTTTTTTTTTTCTTTTTTCTTTTTTTTTTTCTTTTTCTTTTTTTCTTTTTCTTTTCTTTTTCTTTTTCTTTTTAGGTTCCTGTAGGAGCTGGAATAGCTTTTGCTCAAAAGTATTTAGGAACCGATAATGCTACTTTTATTTTATATGGTGATGGTGCTGCAAATCAAGGTCAAGTATTTGAAGCTTATAATATGGCAAAATTATGGGATTTACCTGCCATATTTGTTTGTGAAAATAATTTATATGGTATGGGAACTTCTGCTAGCAGAAGTTCTGCCAGTACAGAATATTATAAACGAGCTGGATATATTCCTGGAATTCAAGTAATTAATTGTAGTATTTATTTATTTGAAATTTATTTAGAGAATAATTTTTTTAATTCAATTATTATGATCAGATAAATGGTATGGATGTATTAGCCGTGAAACAAGGTTCTAAATGGGCTAAAGATTGGACCTCATCTGGGAAGGGACCAATTGTAATAGAATTGGTAACTTATCGTTACGGAGGTCATTCCATGTCAGATCCTGGTACTACTTATCGTACTCGTGAAGAAATTAAACATATGAGAAGTACAAATGATCCAATTACTGGTTTAAGATTACGTATTTTGGATTTAGAACTTCTTACTGAAACAGAGTTAAAGGTATTTCTTCTTAACAAAAGTAATATTACAAGACAAGTTTTTCAAGTATTTCGTCATATATTAATCATCTTTTTTATATCTTTTTTTCTTCATTCTTTTTTTTCATATTTGTAGCAAATAGAGAAAGATGTACGTTCGATAATAGATAAAGCAGCACAAGATGCACAAAATGATCCAATTCCTGATGATTCAGAATTGTATACTGATGTTTATGCTAAAGGTTCTGAAATTCCAATAATTAGAGGACGTGAACGCGAAGAATTTCGTGTTTTCTCTAATCAATAATTTCATCTTATTTTTTTTTACATTATTTAAATTGTTTAAATTTTTGTAATTGAAGATTTATTTTTTAATTTCTCCACATAACGTTTTCTTAAATAATAAATATTAAGCAAGCACACATCTCAAACACCACCATCTTTATCCATTTTCACCACCAATGCCATCATTAATATCAACACCAACACCAATATCACCCATTACTACCACTACCATCATTTCCTTGATTAGAATTATTAACAAATTGAACATTATATCCACCACTATTAGGATCTTGTACCATTTTAAAGTTATCAGTTGATAATCCAAAATTTCCTAAAAATCTATTACCTAAATCTTTAAGTTTACCAATTACTTCATCTTTCTCCTTTTCTTGTTGTTGAGAAATTAATGGTGGTAAACGTTGTATTGATGAATTAATTGATTTACGATCTATAGAATTTAGTTGAGATTGATGTTGTGATGATGATTGTAATATTTTGTAATCTATTTTATTTATTTTTTTTTTTTTAAAAAAAAAAAAAATAATAATGATAAATATGATAAATTATTAATAAATTGTTTATAAAATTATTATGGTTATTATTAATTTCTTAAAAGTTCATTTACCTTCAAGTGCGGATGTTAGTGATGTAAGAGTATGAAGTTTTTCATTGGCTTGTGCTCGACGAAATAAAACTTTTGTATATGAAGGTGAATCTTCAAGTGCTGTTATTGTTATAATTGTTATAATTGTTGTAATTGTTATTTTTAAATACATCTTTTTTTTAAAAAAAAAACCCGATAAGAAATATTAATAATGAAATAATACATTTGTTATAAGCATCGACAGCTTCTTTTAATTTCCCCTATAAAACGCGGAATTCCAATAGTCGCGTCTTAATAAAAAAAATTCTATTTGATCATAATCTTTCATTTTTTCTAAAACATTACCAATTTAACATAACAAGTTCCAATATTTCCCCAATAAATCGCCCTTTCATCCTTTTTTTCAATAGGACAAGTATCTAAAGCTTTCTCGTATTCTTTAATAGCTTCTTCATATTTTGATTTCGAAAAATATTCATTTCCATTTAATTTACAATTATTAGCTAAATTTACTAATTTTTCTATTTCTTCTGGTGTAAACTTTGGTATTTCATCTTCTTCCTCTGTTATTATTTCTTCTGATATCAATTTGTTTTCCAACTCCTTTTCTTTTCCTTTTTCTGAAGATTCTTTATCTATTTGCTTCTCCTTGCTCTCCATGTTTTCCTTGTTCTCCATGCTCTCCATGCTCTCCTTGTTTTTGGTGCTTGAAAGACTTCCTCGGTATTAAAAGTTTGTTCCGAACAAAAATAGAGACAATTTGAAAGAGATTAGGAATGTTATATGAAAGTCATGTGTAAATGGAGATCTCTGAGAAATCCTCATGTGATCATTACAATATTGCAAATGAATAATAATATTTAACATACATCATAAAAAAAAATTAACAAGGAATTAATATGCATAACAATTTTAATTATAAAAGAAATTAACAACATACATAACAATTATAACAAACTAATTGTAGAATCAACATAAAAATAATTTAATATTCACATGTATATTCTTTTTTTCTATTATATTTTTAAATCTTTCAAGACATTGTTATAGTATTCACATGTATATTCTTTTTTTTCTATTATATTTTTAAATCTTTCTTCAAGACATTGTTATGGTATAAAATGTAACATTATAATTATTAATCAAAACATTCAATATAATTAGTTTATTGAAGGAATGGTTAACTTCAAAAAGTATTTAAAAAACTACTAGAAGGAACAGTGTGAAAAAGTGACACTATGGGAAACTAAAAATAATATTACAAATAGATTGAAAAAGAAAAAAAAAGGGAAAAACTAATTTAAAAAAGGTGAGGGAAATAAG